ACCTTTATTTTTAAGATTATCATTATTGTCCTTAACGTTTTTACTATCGTTGTCATCGTTGTCAGGTAAGCAATAATTTAATATAAGTTATCGTGCATTACGGTTTTGAAATTTTTTAATATATTTATATTGGGAACGCCAGCAAATGTGAGCTATTACAATTGAATTCTTAAAAAAATGTTTATACGGTACGAACTTATTTATTGTTGTAAAGTGTTCTTATTATCTGATTACTTACAATTAAAAGAAACAGTGTCAGCTTGAAGTAGAGAAACAGAGAAAATATGAAAGCAGAGTAAGATTTAAATAAAAGCCGCACGAAAGATACAGAACTAAATAATTGAAAGATACATTTGACAGTTTCCGCTAGTCGTTATTGTGTTACATTACGTTTGCAATTTTTAAGCTTTTACTTTGATGACAAATTTTGTCTTATTTATCCCTAGTTGTCCTATTTTCCCATCGGTTACATTGTACTTAACCATGTGTTTCGTTTTTTCACATGCTTTTGTTTTTCACTTTTGTCTAGGCTTCTTTTTAATCTTATTGGGTATTAAGAAACTCTTTTATAATAGAATTTTTTTAACAAAATAGAAAAAATTTCAGTGCTTGTTTTAATGTCAGTGCTCCAAAATTGACGAAAAATTACTTTTTGGTTAGATTCATTAACGGTGGTCTGAAAATGACGTTATAAAAATAAATCGTTACTGAAAAATATTCTTAAAATTTAATCAAAACTAAGTATAAGACTTAGAAGTACAGTTATGAGATTAATTTAAATATCTCAAATATGATTCATAACATACCCACTTTTTAACATAGACACTTGTACGCAAACACTCATGCATCTAATATCTTCAATGTTATCGGTAAATCTACTAAAAAATTATAGTTTGCAGCTTTCACTTCTTAAAAAATAAGTAAAGAGATGTGTGTTAAATAAACTAGCAAAGAAGTATTTTTAATATTATTATCACGATAACCCAGGTTTATTTCGTTTTTATCATTTTTATCATAAATATTGTCACTATCATTATTTTTATGTTTATAATTATGATTGTTATTATTATCATTATTTTTATTATTATTATTATCATAATCATAAATATCATCATTACCATCAACAATATTATCATCATTAGCATAGTATCATTATCGTTAGTATTGTTATCATTATCGTCGTTATTATTATTATTATTATTATCATAATCATAAATATCATCATTACCATCAACAATATTATCATCATTAGCATCATTTCCATTATTGCTATTATTCGAATTATGGTTATTATTGTCATTAGCATTATTTGTATTTTTATCATTATCATCATTATTATCAGCATGATTATCATTATACTTAACTTTAGTATTATCATGATTGTCATCATTATTATTGTTGTCATTTTTATAATTATCATTATTACTNTCAAAGATTTATGAAGTGGAACAATGAGATTTTCGTAATATTGTTGTCTATAGAATAGCCATGTTATATAAAATGAAAAATTTACCTAGTAGTGGTTTTACATAAGTGGGTGAATTATATCACATTTAGGATAAATTAATGTTATTTAGAAATATAATAGTTTGATACAAAGTTTTGAAAAGTAATAATAATTTGCATTTACAATGCATACTTACGCAGTATTAAGAAAGAATCCTCCAAATAAGAGAAATGGAATTATAACAGGTGGACCAACAGAAAGAGCCATCGATAAGTTAGAACTCATACATGAAATAAAATAACCTGTAAGTTTAAAGCACTGGTCAATAACGTTTACACTGTCATTTTTTTTGGACATTTACATTTTTTTACTTTATAATATGTAGCATTATTTTCAATTCTTATGACTCTCCTATTCTTTTAAAATGTACCTATTCTTCAACAGTTTTATTTGAATTCATGAGATTACTGTCTACAGATGCTTTCAATGGAATATTGAATCCCCACAGGTTCAGCCTGTGTAAATAAAGAGCACGTAGTTTTGGTAGGTCTAAGCAAAGAGTTCCAGAACAAATCAATGGTAAATTCATGATACATTATAACTACGACTGACTTATAACCTGCATTAAATATATTTGTGTTATCTACACATTTTTCACTTTGAAAGTAATACGCTGCAGACCAAATATATATGTCTTTGATGAAAAGATTCTTTAGGAGTTACTTATAAGTGTTACAAATGCAAGATGTGCATTACCATAATTCTTAATACTTTTGTCCTTGTTTTTCTTAACAAATTAAAAAAAGTGTTATTTATTTGCAACTTATTAAAAAAATAAAGAATCTTACTTTGTTATCAACACATTAAAAAAAAGTCGTTTTTTAAGCCCCTTGATGTAACAGATAAACAGAAAGTCTAAACAATTGACGAGCGGCGTAGTAAATGTCGATCTCTGCAGTTACTTTACTATTTTAAGTTGTATTCCTTTATAAGAACGTTTGCTTAAGTATAACTTAGCCTTTAGAACATAAATAGTTAATTTCGTTTTAATCCGTATGTTGTTGAAGCAGATAGTGCAAACTGAAAAAACATTAGTTCTGTGGAAGAATGCGATCTTTATTATTGCAAGAAGATTAACTTGACATTTTAAAATAAATGTGACTTGACGAATCAAAATAACAAACATAAAAATTTGTAGCAAGCAGAGCAAGCACAAAAAAGATTTGCTCTTATATTACATAAAGTAGTAGAACAAACTAGAAGAAGCTTAGTGATAAATGTGTGTATGTAGACAAAATAAAGTGACTCAAGAGGTAGAAGGAGGTCACCATATAAAATTTTTAGTTTTATTTTTTTTAAATACTTAACTTAATTTTTAGTTTGTTGTAATAAATCTAGTGTTGGTACAAAAAATTTAAAAATATGTATTCAGACATTAAGTAGTCAAGAGTATCTACCTACAGTAACATAAGATAGTTTTTTGTCTAAGGTGATATTTAAACAATTAAAACAAAGTTTACTCTAATAAAATAAAAGAATTAAGAGTTGTAGCTTTTACATTCAAACCTTTTTCGAAATTAATATTTTGGTTACAAAAGGAGCATGTAAGAATAAAAGAATACAGTATCTTAATTTATCAGTCTTCTTTTATGTTTTCACTCATTTAAGTTTTAATTTTGAAGATGCATTCGATATATTTAAAACACTTAATTTCTTAGAGAAAAAAAAAATTCTAACGAAATAACTTCGACAAACAAATTTTTAAGTTGTTAACAATCAAAAATTTCTTGCCATAAAATGTTTTTAATATTTGCTTGGTTCTCTAAATCATTTTGTATACATATATTCTCAGAACTTCTACATCTTGATACCAATACGTAGTCGATTTGAGCGCCATTTCCAAATCGTTCCCCCACTGGGCACTTTGAGAACGGTTGGTTGTGATTAGAAAATGACCGCACTGCGAATTAATTTCCACATGCTTGTAGAAAAGCAACATTTAAGGATTGGCCACCATGGCTGACACTGGTGAATAAACCAAGAAGCTTAATTTTATCGTAATTACCTTTTCTAATGTCCACCGATCGTTCTCAAAGTGTCCAGAGAAGGCGTGATTTCGGAATTGTGCTCATAGCGAATAGTTGACCATCAGAAAACAAAGGTCTTTTGTAGTAATATCCTAATTCATCAAAACTTTGACCTTGCAATTAATTGATTGTCATGAATAAGCTAGAACTATTAAAAACTGTTTTGTGTATATGAGAAACGAAAGGGATTAATTTTTACTGGTATTTAACGTGAGTCTTGGAATAAATACTTTATTACCAGATTGTCACCAGTCATAATTTCTGCTTCCAAGTTATATTTAGATAATTTTGCCATACGTTGTGTAGTACCATTGGACAACCCATTGAGTATACTCAAGTTTCTTATTAGCATAACAATAGCATCTACTTTTTAGTTTATAATATGTGGTGGTTATTCTTAATGTATACGTTTTTGAGTTTTTATAGAAAAATTTATGTTTATATTTTTATCAGTGTTATCACTTCCTTCATAGTTTGCATAATCTATACTGCAATCAGTATGTTCTTTTCCTTTAATTAAACTCCTTTATTATTTGAACTGTACGAAAGTTCGTTATGAGTTGTTAGAATTACTCCGTATGGGCCGCTATTTATACCATCTCATTCATTTTTTCAGAAACATCATCAGTTTTCAATCCCTGTGGAATTTCGAGAGACTTACTTGTTCCATTTCCAATGTCCATTAACAATAATGATAATTTTAAATCTGTACACCGCATATGACTTTTCAATTACATAACTTTACAGTGTTTCCATATAAATGAATACCTTACAGTTTTACTAGTTATAGAACTTTCACACTCATACTTTATTACTTTGTCTTAAGTCGCCTTCTAAAATTAATAATATTACACTAAACAGAGAATTATAATTGTCACATAAATCTTTCAAAGTTTGGATTCTGAGAAAAAACTTTTAATGTTATTTACTTCCAATGGTAATCAAAATGTAATATGACTTTTCATTTCCTTCGATAATAGAATTGAAGCAATTCCTATAAAAACAAAAACAAAATTGATGTTTTATACAAAATTGTTTTTCAAGAACCTCCTAGACCGTTAATAAAACTCAATTATATATTATTGTTAATACTTCTATGGAAAGTAATTTTTTTATTACTATTGAGGTTCAAAAATAAATCCTTAAAGTTTGTTTCTAAATCAATGACAGTTTTATTGTCCTCAATATTTTTAACTTTCATCGAATCGTTTCATTTTGTTCTAATAATCCATAATCTTTGCATGAATTTTCTTCCAATTTGAAGATTCTATTTAAATGTAATAAAACATTCTTTTGTTTATAGTCCTTTAAATCTTCAATAAAAAATTTTTAGAGTGTTTCCCAAACAGAATTACCACGAACGTTTTTAGATATTTAAAACTATGCGAAAAGTTTTCTTAGTTAATATAGCATCATAGCGTTATAAGCTTCTTTAAATATTTTATATATTTTAGAGTCGTGTTTAACTAAACCTCAACCAATAGCAGTATATCTAAACGTACTATAATGTATGATATCAACTACTTCCAAACTTTTAAAAGATTTAGCTCCACTGACCTAATTTAAAATTTATTTTAAAAAAATACTCAGCGTCCTTAGGTGACATTATATTATGTCACTCTCTTTTTTAATAACGTTAAGTTCTTTCTTCACTAATTCAGGTTCTTGGTGTCGAACTGAAACGGTAATATTTTATTATATTAACATATCAAATTTTTTTGCAAAACTATCTATTATATTTAATTTAAACCAAGCCGTTAGTACTGTTTCAGAGTTCTCTATTGCTTCAAACACATTATTTTCTTGCAAAACTATTTATTGTATATTGTTATTATGTACTGATGAAAAACTACAGAATGACTACATCCACACAGAGGAAACTCTTGCAATCCTCATGCTGCTTCCACGGGGCTGAAATACTGGCCATCTACAAACTCTGATACTTCATCAAAAATTTTTACGTCGTCTTTTTTATCACTTGTATCTGCTTACGTTGTTTTACGTTACGCTCTATATTCTTCTTTATGGACATAATAAAAAAAATACTTTATACTTTAAATAGATGTACAATACTTAACATTAATGTGGTAATTATGATTTGTTAATATAAAGAGATTGTATAGTACTACCATTCAAGTATCAACGAAAATGTTTTAATTATATTTTTTATTCCGTATATGTGATTATTACATCTATTGTCCCAACTTTTTTAATTTGGGTATCTATTTTTTGTAAGAACAGTACGATTTGGGAACTTTTTTGGAAATTTTTTTGTACAAATTCTTTGATGACTGGTAAGACGTGGACTCTCCTTACCATTAGGTCCGTGAATCATGTGTTTAATAACTTATTCTTGTATTTTTGAATCAACTAGCATTTCCGTTGAAATATATTTATCTATGTATGTAGTAGTGAAAAATTTATTATTTAAATACAATGTTACAATAATATGAAAATAAGGTGATCCTCTTTTTTAAAATTTAATGGTACGAGCTTAAGCAATAACTTTTCCAAAAATATTATGTTTAGTTATATCATCTAAAATAAGTTTCAATTTTGTATGAAATAATCTAACAGTTATGTTCGGTATATTAGTTAAAGTTGTCCCTTTAGAAATGTTCTTAAAATTTTTTTTATTAATTTTTATTTAGGGCTAAATGTTACGGTGATACAAAAATCAGGTCGTTCAAACTTTCGCGTTATTGCCATTAAATCTTGATAGTGTTTTTGCATATATCTAGTACCACCGATGTATGTTGATGGCAAAATAAAAATATTTTTATCTTTATTGTTTTGAAAATTTCTTTCGAGGCACTAAGCATCATGGGATTTATTTATCCTTGATAACATTCAATCCTTAGAATTTTTTGGTTATTGTGAAAACAATGTATTCTATTGCTCTTCATTATTGCTCTTTATAATAATACATGCATGCAAAAAAATTGTCGCGTTAATCTTCCGGCATAAAGTATGAGACTAAAAATTTTACTATTTGGTCGATAAGAAGTCCAATATAAATAACATTTTTTACCATAAGATTTTCTGCTCTTGTTAATCGTATGTACTGCATCCTACATCTGCTACTGGAAATAATAAGAGAAATGCCATTGAGTCGACACGCTGTATTTGGCATCGACAGCATCGACAATGAAACCTATAAAAGCGTTAATAAATCAGATGATAATATTCATATAATAGGTACAATAGTAGCGTGG